TGTGTGTGTGTGTGTATAAGAAACAGCATCATACCAGTGTATTAACAGAAATTATTTAGTCATGTGTTATAAGGTGATTCAGAATCAACAAGAAGACTGATAGAAGAAGAAAAAGAGGGAAGAAGAGAGATGAAAGAAGAAAGAGAGGGGAGAGTAAAAGGGAAGGCAGGGAAGAGTTTTGGTAAGAGGAAGGGGAAATTAAAGGAAGGATAGTACAGAGATGGGAAAGAGATATGGAGCATAGAAATAAGGGAATGTGGAGGTTAGCAGGGCACAGGAGAGGGAAGGTGCAGAGAAGAAGAAAACCGGTAGATGAGATAGAAAATGATGAGATAAAGGTCAGAATGTGGAAGCCCTTTTTAAGTAGGTTGACATTCAAATGGAAGCATTTTAAATACAGTAGAAAGATAATTTTAGAAAGTATATCATTCAGGCTGAGATAAGGAGATAAAAGTAGCAGGAGTATAATGTGGGAGCCCATAAACCCAGAACGTGTGCACGCAAATAATCCATCTACATACAACAGTATACTGACTTTACTTAAGGAGTCTTTACTGTTGTTATGAAAACAAATAATTTTAATACCCATGTTCTCAGTGCACCATGCAAGTGATCTATCTTGGAAGTGTTACTGTTTTTAAGGCAGGAGTGAACGATATGATTTTCCTAGTCTTTTCTTCTACGATTTATTTTCTTATTCCAGTAAAAGCATCCTCCAACCTGAGACAAATGTATGGCCAATCACACAACAGTGACTGAATTCGTCCTCCTGGGATTCAGGGATCATCCCGAGCTGCAGTGTCTTCTTTTTGTAATTTTCCTACTTGTCTATATGATCACTGTGGTTGGGAACCTTGGCATGATCTTATTAATCAGCATCGACTCACGTCTCCACACTCCCATGTACTTCTTCCTCAGTAACTTGTCCTTTGTTGATTTCTGCTACTCCTCTGTCATAGCGCCCAATATGCTGGTGGATTTCTGGGTCGAAAACCCAGTCATTTCATTTAGTGGATGTGCTACTCAGTTCTTCTTTTTTGGTTCTTTTGCCGGCATTGAGGGCTTCCTGTTGGCTGTGATGGCTTATGACCGCTATGTGGCAATCTGCAAGCCTCTCTTGTATACAGTCCTCATGACCCCCCGTCTCAATGTCCTCTTGGTGTCAATTACATATACTGCGGGCTTTATAAACGCTGCCATTCACACTGGACTCACCTTCCAGCTGTCTTTCTGCAACTCAAACATCATCAATCACTTTTTCTGTGACACTCCGCCCCTCCTTAAACTCTCTTGTTCTGACACACGGATCAATGAGGTGGTTATTTTTGCTTTTGCTAGCTTTAATGAGCTGAGCTGTCTCCTGACTCTTCTCATCTCTTACCTCTACATTCTGACTGCCATTCTGAGGATCCAGTCAGCTGAGGGGAGACACAAAGCTTTCTCCACCTGTGCCTCTCACCTGATGGCTGTCACCATTTTCTTTGGGACAATCTTATTCATGTATCTGCGCCCCAGCTCCAGTTATTCAATGGACCAAGACAAAGTGGTGTCTGTGTTTTATACCGTGATCATCCCAATGTTAAATCCACTCATCTACAGCCTGAGAAACAAAGAGGTGAAAGCTTCCGTTGGTAAAATCTTCAAAACTAACACTTTTAACTTGTGTTGTTGAAGTCGTAAATGTGTAATATGATAAGACTAGAATGAAACTTAAATGTAACCAAACCCACTGCCATTAGCCCTGGTTCCAACCTTTATTTTTTCTGTAGATTTTCTTCTGGTTATAGAATTGGACCAAATGTCCAAGATACAAGAGATGAGTGTCGAAGAGGAGGAATATAGTCACTCAGTATAAATTCCACTTATCCCGCAGATAGCAATTTCTAGAAAATATCCACCATCATATTTTAATCCATATTGACAGTTGTAAAGCCCGGTATTGAAATATATGGAGATAGCGTCAGTTCTGACTGTATGGCACACAACAACAACAACAAATACTAATGAATAGATATGATATGTGTTATTATTTGGTATCTTTAATTGTAAAGACAGTAAATAAGATTTTAGTATATCACTTAAAGGACTTTTTAATTGGAAAATAAACATTAATTCAAACCAACATAGATCTGAGATTGGGACTCAGCGCCACTAGAATTGTCTGACTTGTTCTTTCATTTTTATTTGCTTTGCTTCCAGAATCACTGTGATGTAGGAACTCAGTTGCTCTAACCTGAAGTGTGTTGAACCAGAATCATTGTCTTATAGAGAAAGCTGCGTCTTTTTTATGAAAGACTAAACTGCCTGTCATAGCTTGAATGTTCCTTGTGTGTGTACATGTGTATCACCCGTCTGTGAGATGTGTGTGCATGTGTGTGTTTGTGTGAGTGCTGAGTGTGCACCGACAGTGGAAGAAGTTGTGTAACTCTAATGGCTGCTTCAGTTCATCATATGTTTATTTGGCAAAAACCAATTCCTTATATGTCTTCTTCTGTTTACACATTTATAGATACGTAACACTTCTTTACATTGATAAGGTCTTAACAAAAATGGTATCACTAAGGAGCTATAAATCACTCTTAATCACTTGTTATGCATGTGAGACTGGACAATAAATAAGGAAGATGGAAAGAAAATCGATGCCTGTGGACTATGATGTTGGAGGAGTGTACCGTATATCCCATAGACTGCCTAAAGAGCAAACAGATACATCTTGGAGAAGGTAAAGCCCAAGTTGTTACTTGAAAGCAAGGATTGTAAAGCTTCAACCTGAATTCTTTGGGCATGTTGCTGGGAGACGTTATTCTTTGGAAAAATAAACCATGCTTGGAAAAGTGGTAGGATCATGGAGGAGAGGAAGACCCTCAAACAGGTGGATTGACACAGTGACTGTAGAAATGGGTTCAAGTGTGTCAGAGATTGTGAGATTGGCACAGGATAGGAACGGGCTCAGATCTGTTATTCGTAGAGTTGCAATCCGTCATACTTGACTACTATGTGTATAGAAGTCTGCGGACAGAAAAATAGATATATACAAAAAAAATAGATATATACATCTACTTGGCAATGTGAATCAATATAACGTAATTAAAATTGGTGCTAGGTGAGCTTGCACTTAATTGGTGGTCATGAGCCCATCAACTGACATTATGAGATCCTCCAGAATTTACTTAATAAGTTTCTTAGGGCTACGCAGAGATTCCCTGTAATGGTCAGGGTAAAGCTACACTGAGAACACAGGGCAGAGATCAGTCTTCAGATGTCCTTGAGCTTATTCCATCTTCATTAAAAAAAAAGAATTGAAGCATTGAACACCAATGACTGAAGGCCAGATGAGTTGTTGGATGAATCAAGTGAAGAGAGAAAAAGGTCACTACAAAGAGAGGGGAAAAAGAATAACCCAAAATGCATGTGAGAGAGACCCTGAAAAATAGTACTTGAGTCAAGAAACCAAAACAAAGGGAAGAGATGTTGAAGCAGAAGAGCTGAGCAGAAGATTTCAAAAGGCATCTTGAGAAGATAAAGCAAAGTATTATAATGAAATGTACAGAGACCTGGAATTGAAGAATAGAAAGGGAGAACTCACTCAGCATTTCTCAAGCTGAGAGAACTGATAAATTCAAGCCTCAAGTTGCAGCAGTTTTAGACGCTATGGTAAAAATCTTGAATGATTCATAAAACCTCATAAAAAGATGCATTGAATACACAGAATCACTGCAAAAAAAAATACTGGCTGACACTGACTACAACACCAGAACACCTACCATCTTTCTCTTACATCGCTCCACCTCATTAATTGTGTTATTGCAGTTGTTGTTGAGGTGTCGTGGAGTCAAGCATGACTTATAGTGGCCCAATGAACAAGACCTGAGCCCTGTTCTATCCTGCGCCATCCTCACTCTTCCTGACACACAAAAGCCCACTGCAGCAGTCACTTTGTCAATCCACCTGGTTGAGGGTCTTCCTCTCCTCCACTCATGTCCTTCTCCAAAGAATAGCACCTCCTAGCAACATGTCCAAAGTATGTGAGGTGAAGCCTCATCATTCTTGCCTCCAAAGAGTACTCAACTACATCCTCTTCAAGACATGTCTGTTCGTTCTCTTGCCCGTCCATGGTATGTTCAGTGCTCTTCTCCAATACCTCAGCTCAAAGGTGTCAATTCTTTTTCTGTCATCCCTATTCATTGTCCAGCTCTTGGATGCATAGCTAGTAATTGGAAGGATGATGGCCGGAATCAGATACACCTTGGTCTTCAAACTGACATCACCACTCATTAATTTGGAAAGGTCCTTAACTACAGATTCTCCCAGTGCAATGTATCTCCGTATTTCTGACTGCTGGTACCAAGGGTGTTAATTGTGGATCCAAGCAAGATGAAGCTGTTAACAGTTTTAATCTCCTCTCCATTCATCATGATGTTGCCTATTGGTTCAACGGTAAGAATCTTTGTTTTCCTGACTCTGAGATGCAATCCATGCCAAAGGTTTCATTCCTTGACCTTCTCTCCAAGTGCTCCAAGCCCTCCTCACTTTCAGCAAACAAGGTGTGTCATCTGCATAACACAGGCTATTGATGAGTCTATCTGGAATCCTGATGGCCACAAGCCTCCTCATAGAGTCCAGCTTCTTGGATAATTTTCTCAGCATACAGATTGAGTAGATCCGGAGAGTGAATGCAGCTCTGGCACACTCCTCTCCCAATTCCAAACCTTGCAGTACTCTGCTGCTCTGTTCATAAAATAGCCTCCTGTTCCGGGCGTGGGTTCTGCATGAGCACAATCAAGTGCTCTGGGATTTCCATTCTTCTCAATGCCAGTCACAACTTGTCAGGGTCTTCACAGTCAAATGCCTTTGCATAGTCAGTAAAGCACAAGTAGACATTCTTATGGCATTCCTTACTTTCAGTCAGGATCCATCTTACACCAGTAAAGATGCCCCTGGTGCCACAGCCTCTTCTAAATCCTGTTTGAGCTTCCTTATCTATGTTCCAGACATTTTTAATTATCTTCAACAATATTTTGCCTGCATTAGTTATGTTGTTGTTGATTGCCGTCAAGTTGAGTACAACTCTACGACTCTATGAACAAAGGACCAAATGCCTTTCCACAGTTATCGTCATTTCCTCAAGTTTATAGAGTTTTCACAGGCGTGTGGTTTAGGAAGTGGATGCCACTCCTGCTTCCAAATCTAGTTTACAACTTGCAGCTCCACCAAACACTGTGCACATTAGGAAACCATTATGGTATTTGATACCCCTACGGCACAAGGTTCAGCATCACAGCAAACCCAGATTATCTTAGCACAGCAAATTGACAAAGAGGGATGTACAAAGTAGAAGAATGTTACTCCAAATATAACAACACTAGTCTCACTTAGCACTGGTTAAGTGTTGTCAAGTTGAATATGGCTCATAGTGACCCTATGAACAAAAGACCTGAACTCTGTTCTATAATTTACATAATTTTGTGTGTTTATGGAGTTTAGGAAATATAAAATATAACTCTGAAATGTTCTTTGGAGAATTCCCTCATCTGTTCTAGAGGCAAGAAGCTGTGCTACCATCACAAAGCACGAATTAAAATCTACCAGCTGCTCTGTGGGAGAAGAAAGGGCAGTCTCCTCCCACGCTATTAACTGCCTTCTGAAAACCTGTTGGAGGATCAGCTATGGGTGACTTCTGACTCAGTGGTATGCAACAACAACAACAATACTAAAAATGCAAAACTTATCTACTTATATTTTCCTTCTTCTGTATTCTTGGAAGTATTGGTTAATTTATCTCCCCTAAGAATCTCCTGTATTCATGAACCAAGAAAGGTACTAGCCTTCCGTAGAGAGGTTGGCATCAAAGGACTATCGTGGTCTTCAAAACAACAAATCATGGTTTATGTCCTTGAGGAGCAGAATGTACTTTAATGGGTTACTTTGAATTACTAAAATGTTCTTTCACTTTCTATTTTTTACATTACTTCGATTTGTTTACAAAGTTTGAATACATTGTTTTTCACAAAATATCCTTCCCATTTCCATCATCTCACCCACACATTGAATTGTGCAACTCTATGATTGAAATCTTACCCTCCCATCCTCACCCCTCTATTTCTAAACCGTCCCCCATGAATCCTATGCTCATTCTATAATAATGGTTTTGTACAATATTTGTCCTTATGGGACTGAGTTAGTTCACTCAGCATAATACTCTCCAGTCCCTCCCAATTTAGGAAGTAATTTACAAAATTATTGCTCCTAAGTGCTGCAGAGTATTCCATTGTATGAATGTACCACAACTTCTCGATCCATTCATTTGTGCTTGGACATCTGGGCTGTTTCCATGTTCTTGTGATGGTATAATGCAGCTGTGAAAATTGTTGTACAAATTTCCTTTTGAGCCTCAGTTCTCATTTTCTTGGGGTATAATCCAAGCAATGGGATAGCTGGGTCACATGGATTTTCTATGTTCAGCTTTTTGAGGAAACACCAAGCTGCCTTCCAGAGATGTGGTACCATTGTACAATCCCACCAACAATGTACAAGAGTTTCTATCTTACCACATCCTCTCCAACAATTATTACTTGCTGTCCTCTTAAACTTTGCCACTGCTACAGGAGTGAGATGGTGTCTCACTGAGATTTTGATTTGCATCTCTCTTATTACGAGTGATTTGGAGAATTT